TAGCTTGGTAAAATACTGGGTCCAGGCTTCCAAAGATAAAGAATTCAAATACCATTCTCTCTAAGGCAAATAAATGTAAGGCTCATCACATTCCTTCATCAAAGAGCTATTCTCCAGTTCAAATCTTCAGTTTACTCTATTTCAGAGGCAGTTTATCACAACCATTCCCATAATGCTCTTTACAATTCTTTGATTTTAAAGCCCTCCCCATCTTTGGCTACTGATCAGCATTTTGTGACTCAAGGGGTGTTCTCATCATTCTTGGATTGATTCCACATTTGTGTACAGTAATCCCATGCTATTGTTTTCTTTATGCCTACAGAGATAATGTACTTCTGGCTAGGCCACAATGCAAGAATCTACTTTGAAGGTCTTTTCAGCTGGAAAAGCTCAAAGCTTCAGGTCCTGAAAGGGAAATGCTGGCCTGACAGCTTTGCATTTTCCTCACTAGCCTGGTGGAGCAGCAGGGGTGCCATTGACAGTTTCACTCTGACCTTCAACAGGAAACCAGCATTTGTCAGTCTGTTGTTTCCCCCACCCCATCATCTTTCCTTTTGTACACAGAGAGGGAGGATGCTACAGAATGGGATCAGTTTCAACCAAGGCAATGAGATTTTGAAATAACAGAAATAGCGACCAAGGTACCAATTTTTAAATTGATTTTGTGGAATAGGCTTAATCAAGACACATTAATACACTCTAGCCTGGATTCTGATACACTTGTAGTCTCAATGTTAAACTTGTTTACCTGCAGGTCCTATATTGAGGGAAAAAGCATTGTGCATAAATGAGATGTTGCATATGTGGTAATTTACCTTCTCACAGCATTTGGCAAAGAAGCTTGGTTAATGACTGGCAACTATAGCCATGTTACACTATTGTGTACCAAATGAACCTCTGAGTCTTCAGAAGCAAAGATTTCAGTACAGTGTAACTGAATTTCAGCTAAGCTTGGCTTTAGAACAGCTGAAACCAAAAGCACTTATACAGACTTATATAGACTGAAATCAGATGATATCTCCTAAATGAGAGTGGACACCAGTATTTGCTATACTATCGCACTGTAGCACAATGTAGAAATTATTTTTCCTTCCCCACCACATACCCAGTCAGGCTGCATATTTCTCACCTCCACTTAAAAGAGGCATCGACACCTTATTTCATTTTTTACCAACTTTTACAAAGTATGTTTTCCAGTGCTAAGAGTTGCAGTTTTTAAAGGAAGGGCTGAACTTTATTTCCAGAGCTGAAATTATTCCATCTTGATTAAATAACAAAACACCTTTAGCCCCATTTCCATGTCCACTGTGAACAGGTGGATTGCTGAACTCCATCTCTTCCTGGACTTGGTTCTAGCTGCTGGCATCATTAAAGCAAAGTTGAGTAGCCTCTATATTTCTTAGGTCACTATGCCCACCCCATCATATTGTACAACTGATAAGGGGTGACAAACCTCAGAAAACTCTAAATGCACTCCTAAATCCCATCACCAAAAAGAAAATAGAAAGCAACAAAATTTCCACCTCTATCTACTTGAATCATGGCTGGATTATTTTAAACCCTGTGATTCTTCTGTGTCCATTTAACATTAACAGATGATAAGCAAGATCCTAACAAAAAGAGATTGTTCACCCTTACATTAAAGGGGTGCAGCCTGCAAAGCCTTCTCCATTGAGCCTGTCTGCCTTGCGCAAACAAATGTAAAAGCACAAAAGCACAAGAGGTGACAACTGTTCCATATTAGGGTTGTTGTCATGACTGTGCAACAAAACACTATTCTCATTGTCAACCTCCAATCTTTAAAAGGTTTTATGAGAAATACCAATAGAAGGAGAAGAAAATGCCACTGCATGTATCAGAAGAAAACTCCAAAGGATTCCACACAACTCTAAACAGGAGAGAATTTGGTAAGAATTGTCTTGTTCTGATAAAGTGAAACCTTTCTAGTCCAATATTTTATGGTTTCTTAACATAGATCAAGTAGATGATTTGGAAAGCGAATAGATAATTATTTAACTTGTAAACCTATTTATTAATCTCAGCCTGGAACAATATTGACAAACTCATCTGATAAGGCCATCCAAACTTCTGTACTACATAGTTTTCATAATCAATCCATACATTAATGTTGATGTATGGTTTTTGTAACTAATCCATACATCAATATGTTAAATATGACCATGTTTCTCCACTTTGATTGGACAGCATTGAGTTGTCATGCAGAGTATTTCTGCCTCTGCTGTCAAAAACATACAATTGGTTAATTGTAGTTTATTTAGTAAAAGGTTTCTAAACTAAACAAAGCTCACTGTGCCATCGAAATTCCAGCTTAGTGCCCTTACAGAGGCATCCTTTGCTATGTGCAAGGTAATTGCACATTGGTATAATAAGAACTAAGCTGTAGATTCCTCTTATCATGGGTCTAGTTCTATTTCCAGGCAACCAGCCAAATATTTCAGAAATCTCAGATGTAACAAACACAGGTTTCCTTTATTGTTACTCCTTGGCACCTAATGTTTAAAAGTATATTACCTTACCATGGGAAAGGTCCATTGACTTACTATGGCTAACCCCTGCTGATTTAACCCTTTAATAAATTGCTGATCACTAATGCAATAGGGCTGAGAATAAAGTAATTCATTTACACCAGGCAGTCATTTCTTTTAAGGGACACACATAAGACATCTCACAAGCCCATTCCCATCCAATTCAACAATTATGGTAAGATTTAAACTCACCAGGATCTTTTTATATGAAATCACAACTTTATATACATATCTGAGAAGTGTGGAGCACATGCCTTAAAGTTATAACCTGAGGGGAGTGCTTTTATGAGAACAAAAATCTTTTTGCTACTCCCACCCTACACAATTCTGTTTAAATGTCATGTCATATTCTAAGACAATCAGATCTCAACACAAAGAAAAAAACCTAGAAAAAATCATGATCGTAATCCCCTCTGGCTACCGCTTTAAAGTATGGTATATGTTCCATAGATAAATCAGGAATCCACCCATGGCAGCTGTTTTGAACCTAATGAGGTGGGAGTTTGAAGGACCTCATTCCTATTTCCACGGCCTTGGAACTACTAAGTCTCTCTGAGTTACATCTGCATAAACACAAGTAGGATTGTACAGTTGGAAAACAATCCTTATTTCCAGATAAATAGGCACAGGGATGAAATCTAGTGGTATCATGTTATGGATGGAACTTAAAAGCTAGTCCTATTACCTTCAAGGACTACGGTGATTGTCTACCTGCCTTATTCTCTTTGAAAAGCAATCCTTCCCCAAGGCTTTGGATCACAAGACACAACAAGTTGTTTGGTGATATGGCAATTCAGATTATGTGAATCATTATAGAAAAGATACCCTTCACCCACTACAAAGCTTCCAACATTAACTCTTTAGAGCCCTGCCCTTAATTGTTCTCTTCCAGAAGAAGATACAAATTATTCAACCTAGAAACCAATAAATTGAACAAAGGTCAGTGGAGTGAAGAAAAAAAGTAAGATGTTTCCCCTGATAAAATGTTGTGCCTTACAAAATTAAAATTGCCCTTTCAAAAAAAGTATTTTATAATAAGAATCAGGAGTTGAGTGAGAGGGAGAAATTGGCTTTTTGTTAGTAAGAACATGTAACAATGTAGGTGATTTTGACACACACACACACACACACACACACACACACACACACACACAATCTTTAGAAAACAAAGCATTTTGCTCAAAACAATACTTTTATCACAATGTTTAGAACCCCCTCATTTCTCAATTTTTCATTTGCCAAAATAGAAATAAAAAAAGAGAACTGTGAGATTTTAGCTTTGTATCCAAGTGATCCAAACAAAATATATTGCAAATAAAAGCAGCCAGTAAGTACAGGACTAGCCAAAATTAAATATCTTTAACTCATACTAGCCACAGTTGCAGGAAACACTGAAACTTAAGCACACTCCTGGAAATTCTGGCAACAAGGAATGTTGTCCTATTGCTTTCAGTTAGCTTTCTCTGAAAATAGGACTAAAGCAAATTAGAACAGTGGGTTGTGGGTTTTCTTTTTAAATATGCCTTGCTCTGCAGACTCTGTAACCTTATTCAAGAGATCAGCTAAGAATTCAGTTTCGAATGCAGTGATAACTTTTTTTTGCCACTGTACATTTCTGGCTATTTAGCAACTGTGGATGAGCTCATGATTACTTACCAATAAGCCAGGTTTCTCAGTCATTCCCAGCATAGTGTTCATGGAAGAGTGGCTACCAAATTCAAGTACTTGGCTAGTACTTAATAGTTTTGAATCTATAATGAGAAGCATGACCAACCCCATACATGAATCTCCGTGGTTTGGTTTGGTTTTTCTGGCCCTTTCCTTGCCACCCTCTTTTTACAAACCCTTCAAATTCCAAACTTGTACAAAGTTTTTTTTTTCAAATGTATTTATATATATTTATAGATATTTGTATATATAATAGTTATTCTTTCTTAAATGAATCCTTCCCTCCATGTTCTACTGTACTTTAAAAAAAGAAACTGAAGAACTAATGTTTCTTTTTTTAAAAAAAATTGCTGGTGACATTTTTAGGCATATGTAAGTGGACAAGAAGTAGGAGGAGGCAAGAAAAGAGACAAAGGTAAGATTGCACAGTCAAATTGAGGATGAAGAGAAGGTTTGAGCAATTAAAAAAAATTATATCCTTTCCCCGAAATGCAAACTCAACTGGGAAATCCCCCCCCCCCACGACTTCATTTTCACTGCAACAAGAAGCAAGCAACACCTTTGTGGAGGCATGTATGTGTGCATGACAAGACTGAAGAAGAGAGTGGGGGGGATACGTGCCACAGAGAAGTGTTTTTTTTTCCTCCTGTAACTAGTTTCTTTTGGGGGGGAAAAAATCTTGCTCCTAATTTTGAGCAGCCGTCCTTCAGATCTATTTGCTGATCTGCCTTCAGGGAAGATCTGTGCCTCTCTCCACGAGTACAGGACCCCTTCTTGAAAGCAGAACCCTGTTTTGTTTGAACAGCTAAGTGAGAAATAGTGTGCTGGTACAGGAGAACATAAGCAGCCTTCCCTCTTGGGTCTGAGCAGGACTGATGTGGTACAGAGAAGGAGAGGAGAATGCCCGCAGCAACAGCCTGTCCCACTGCTACGCCTTCACCCCACCTCTGCTCCTCCTGAGAGGTGTGTCCAGGCAGACCCAGGAAGCGAAAGACCGATGTGCGCAGAGAGGGGATCAAGCAACTAGTTCAGGGGTCCAGCATGGTCACGGTAAATGTGTGGCAGGACTGTTTCTGTTGGAGCTGGGCGAGAGGCTAGGGCTGCAGCTGCCTGGAGGTGGAGGTGGAGGTGGAGCTAAGCTACTGATATGGGAAGATGCTCCCGTTGAGCCCCCCAAAGAATCCATGCCTTCAGAGTTCTCCAGCATTTCCTGGATGAGGGGTGGCATTGATCCAGGAATTTCCATTTTCAAAGTTATCACCCTTTCAGCACCTGTGGGAGGGAAGACAGCTGATTTACCAACACAATATATAACCTGAGCATTTCCTAAGTAAGCCAAGAGAATATGCTAAGGGTGTAAGCAATACTCAAGATAATTTACTTTCAAAAACTTTCAAAAGTGCGGTGTATATTGAAAATGCTCACTGTATTCTCAGAATTACCTTTCAGTTTTGAACATGATGTTCAACACTATCATACATATCAGACAGTTTTTAGTTATGAATTCATTTTTTAAAAAAACTCTGCCTCCTTACAGATTTAAGAAAGAAGAAAAAACTTTTTTTTCCCCCCTGCAGGGTCTGCCTGCCCTTACCTTTTGCACTGATGCTCCGTAGATCTGTAATCTTCATCAGCATTTTGGGGAACATATGAGGTTTGCTAGGTCTCCTCTTTCTCACATAGATTTTCAGGGCTTCCAACAGAGGTTCCTGCAATTGATCCACACGGTTTGGTTGTTCCAGATCTTGTCGGTCTGGAGAAGAGGGAGAGGTAAGGCCATTAAAAAGGGAATAGAATACATTTCACTTTTCATACACCTTCTCTGTGGTAAACACAATCTTTGCCTAAAAATGTATCACTTAACAATTCTTTTGTGGCTTTCTTAACTTTTCATTCCTCCAGATGTGATTGACTTCAGTTCCAATCATCCAATCATCAGTTCAATCTTTTAGAAGGCACTTTATGGGGCACGGTGGCTGACTGCTACCTGTGCATAATCAAAGAAATTTGTGTGCCACTGTCATGTTTAACAAAAAACTGAGCATGAGAGTGAATTTGCTGTAGTGGCTGAAGTGCTGGGAGATTTTGAATTCTAGTTTCCCCTTAGACATGGAAGCAGGCTGGGTGACTTTGAGCCAGTCAATCTCTATTACCTACCTTGCAGGGTTGTTGTGGGAGAAGGGAGCACTAGGCTCACCGACTTAAATTAACAAAAAATAAAGGTGGGATACAAGTAAAAAAACAAACCCATAATACTTATGTTATTACCTTCCACAGTGAAAGTAAATGTTTAGAGCATTCAATGAAAGCTTTGTCACAGGAACAGAGATTCTTGGGTTACAACAGCAATTGGGACCAGGATTGCTGTGGCTAAGTGATATAGTCTTAAAGCGCATTGCCACATGAGTGCATTGTTTAGCAATGAAAATCCTGGTTACTATTGTAAACTCAAAACATGTAAATTGCTAAATAGGAAATGGTAGGAATCCCAGGGAAAGAGCTGGGTGGGGGGCATGGGGGAGGCCAAGAGTAGGCCTTGAAGGGCCAGCAAAAGTCACGAACGAGTTGGTGGAAATGGGGTACAGCAGCATGCATGCAGGAGGGAGGGGGAATTTTTGCAACTTTCCCAAACACTGATATTGCTTATGGAAAGCCAGCAGGGAAGGTCTTCAGTAGTGACCATATGGCCATAGGACGCTGCAATTGTTATGTGCAAATCACTTGCCAAACACCTGTGATCACATGACTGTGAGGATTCCATGATGGCTGGAATTTTGAGGAGTTGTTGCAAGTGTATTAAAATTGAACTAATTGTCATTAAGCAAAAACACCCTACTTTATGAACACATTTCCTCTTTTCAGTCAATAGTATTTGTATCTGAAGGAATTAGAATAAATGGATTCAGGCATTTCCCACATCTCATCTCATTTATCAAAAGCTTTAAAAATTATCAGTTATCATTATAGATCTCTTTTTAGATCTAACCACCTGGTGGTGCTATTGATCAGGACACAATACACTTACTTTTGACTTCCCTTCCTCTGTTTCTTTCCAGAAATGCACGTATACAATGAGTACCAGTAAAAAAAAACAACTGTATCTATTACTTTAGTAAGCAAATAAATCACATGAATTTCCTATTAGTATAACTCTGCATATCAAGACACTGCATATACCTTACTGAATGGTATATTGGCTTGCAAGTAAATTTCTAGGCTAAAGATCCTAGAAGGCACAAAATAGTGTGAACATCCTGGGAATAAAATTGGACTCTGGCTGTCCTTGTCTCATCGTGGCCAAGATGTGCAAAAATTGACCATTACTGTCCTTACCATTTAGTAGACAATGTACCACCAAGGTTAGTAGATAATGTACCACCAAGGTTGATAACCAAATCTACTCATCTACTATTCTACTGAAAAATAATTTGTAAAAACTGAAACTGATTAATGCCATAAGGTCTATGGATTTATCTGATCATTACTGTGTTTTTAATCAATCAAATATTTATTACAGGCATAAGACAGTATTAAGAAGGGTGGAATACAAACAATAATCTTAAAAGCTAAAAAACTTTTTAAGTTAAAAAAATATAAAAACAAAAATATTTTTTTTAAAAATCTATAAACACTAAGCAAACACAAAAACCCCATAAAAGTTAATATATGGCTAAGTAAATCTATCAAAATACAAAAAAACCCTTAACTAATAAATATATTTTATATCTTTTAACTTTTAACATTATTATTGTATTCTACCCTTTTAATGTTAGTCCGTGATTGCAATAAAGATTGATAACTGAATGTCATGTAGAAATCATGGGAATGCAAAAGTAGCAAATACCATAAACTAAAAAAATAAAAATGAAAGAAAAACAGATGTATAATAAAGGAGAAGGTTGTAATAAATATGACCAAATCTGGTTTGATCTTGCGGAGCAGAGCTGATTAATCTTGCGGAGTTGATGAATACATGTAGAGAAGTGAAGCTGTAGGCAATTTATAAATAAAAGGACTAAAATATGTGTCAGAAAAAGCAAACTGGTGTTCAGGAAAACAGGAATCCATAGGCTGGTGACAGCTACAAATTATGCTCCAGTGCGTAACAATATCAAACTGCTTCTCCCCACATTGTTATATGGAAGCAAGAGTTGGATATGTCAGAAAAAAACATAAAAGTAAATGGAATACAATGGAAATCAGTTATTTTAAAAGGGTTTGGTAATTAATCAGTGCTGGATTTAATACAGAAGCGAAATGAACATTATGGGGGAAAAAAGAATGGTGTAGCAGTCTGATTATTCAGAGAGGATGCATGAGGATGAAATCACAATACAAGGAAAAATGGATCTTGAAAAAGAAAGAAACTGAAAAAATTGTGGTTGTTTGGAGTTAATAAACCCCTTAAGAGAGAAAGGTATCTGTTTTATAGGGAGATACAATTCCAGAATCCTGGAAAGAGACCAATATTGTTAACAAAAGAACAAGACTTAACCTCCACTATAGGCCAGTTTCCTCATTGAATAATTATAAACGATTCACATCAATTATAGTGTACAGATTTAAAATGTTTTACAAGATTTTATTTACTTTATTCAATGTGGATTTTTGTCTAAAAGACAATTAAAAGAGAATATGAGAACTGTATTGGATGTAAGAATATTGCAAGGTAACATAAAACTAGCCACATTAATCTTAGATGCAGAGGAAACTTTTAATAATTCGAATTGGACTTTTTAAAAATTAAAATTCTGAAAGATATGAACTTTGGCAAATCCTTTATTCAAGGATTCAAATTGATACATATGCCTCAGAAGGCTCCAATTATGGTTAAAGGTGGTTTCACTAAACCATGTCATCTCCAGAAGGGGACAAGGCAAGATTGTCTTTTGTCTCCTTCGTTGTTTGTTTTGATTCTTGAAGTGTTGAACAGATAAGGCAAGAAGACAACAGATTTAAAAAAGAAAACAGACTTTTAAGCTGAGAGCATTTAGGGATGATTTGGCTTTGATTTACAAGTTCCTTGGAAAGGGGTTCAGTTATTGCTGAAAAATATGGTGGGTTTTGGTATTCTATCAGGTTTTAAGACTAATAATAAAAAACAAAGATGTTGGTAAAAATATGAAGTTATAAGATCAGAAAATCTAATAAAAAAGTGGTCTTAAAATTGAGAAAAATGTTTTGGGTGTTACTTGACTAATATTAAGTAATTGTCCACTTGAGTTCTAGTACAGGGGTAATCAACCTTTTGGATCTCAGGGACCACCAAACTCATAATTTTAAATCCTATGGGAAAATCCCAAAAAATGTTTGCAGGAAAATTCCCTACCCAGTTCTCCTACCGATCGATCATTCTTTATTTGGGATTTCAGGAGGAGACAGAGACTTTTGGCTTCATGCAAGGAAAGCAGCAGAAGTCTTTCTTTCTTTCCCCCAAACTCCGCCAGAAATGAGTCTTTACCGGTGCAGCCTCTTGGAGGAGGATGACTTGCAGGGCCCCAAAGACTCATTTCTGGCGGAAATTGGGGGAAAGAAAGACTTTTGCTGCTTTCCTTGCATGCAGCCAAAAGCAGAAGAAGAAAGATGTGAAAAGAAGCAGCCTGGTGGCCAGGCAATACGCGTAGGGCAAATTCCCTCCTACCCACCTGCCCTCACTACCTTGTGTTGTTCGCAATGCAAGTGATGCAAGTCTTGTGTTCCTGAAAGACATGTGGGTGGCGCAGCCTTGTGTTCCTGCGCAGCCTGGATTTGGGGGGTGCTTTGGGGGTGACATTTCTCTGCGGACCACCAAAATTTTCCCTGGCCCACTGGTTGGTGATCACTGTTCTAGTAGACAATCACTTAAATATGAGCAGCAGTGTGCTGTAATTGATAGAATCAAGATCATTTGAAGTGTCAATACCATTTTATAATGCCCTGGTAAAACCACACTTGGAATACTGCATGCAGCTTTGGTCGCAGCAATGTAAAAAAAATGTTGAGACTCTAGAAAGAGTGCAGGGAAGAGCAACAAAGATGATTATGGGATTGGAGGCTAAAATATAAAGAACAGCTGCTGGAATACAGTATGCCTAGTTTAATGAAAAGAAGGGTTGTGGGGTGACATGATAGCAATGTTCCAATATCTAAGGGCTGCTACAAAGAAAAAGGGGTCAATCTATTCTCCAAAGCACCTGAAGGCAGGACAAGAAGCAATGGATAGAAACTAATCAAGAAGAGAAACAACCTAGAACTAAGGAGGCATTTCATGACAGTTACAACAGTTAATTGGTGGAACTAATTGCCTCCAGAAGTTGTGGCTGCTCCAACACTGAAACTTTAAAGAAAAGATTGGACAACCACTTGTCTGAAGTGATATACAGCTTCCTAACTGAGCAGGGAATTGGACAAGAAGAACTTCCAACTCTGTTATTCTGTTAGAAGTAAGGAGAAATTTTCTTACAATGGGAACAATTAATCAGTGCTTGTTTCCTGGAGTTGTGGGTTTGCCATCAGTGGAGATTTCCAAAATAGACAAGAAAATCCTTTGACTGGAATGATACAAGGTCTCTTGCCTTAAGCAGGGGGTTGGACTAGAAGACCCCCAAGGCCCCTTTCAGTCCTATGATTCTATGTTCTACCTATGTTCTAATATGAATTGTATGCCTAGTGTACATTGGAGTTGGGTGGCCATAATAAATTTAAATAATAAATCCTACATGCACACTTTTGGTCATTTGTTTTGCTATTAGATCCTTAGGGCTTTGTTTCTATTATTGTTATTTGTCTTTATTAAATTTGCTGATTGATTTTTTTTTCTTTCTAAAAAGGTCAGTATATATTGGTCTGACATTTAACTATTTATTAGTCTTTTTTTAATCTGTCATTTTTCCTTTCCATGCATTATTTTGATTGAAGGTTTGCATTGAAAGAAACAATCACAAACTTTAATTAATTAATTAATCAAAATAAACTTCAAAGAGATGGTAACACTCCCTTTGGAATGCAGGTGTACCTGTGAATGTTGGGGTGAGAGGCTTACATGGCTGAAAATTCATTTTCTTTCTAAGCAGCAAAGATTTTTTAATGCAGGAATAATGAAATCCCTTATTTCAAAATGTGAAAGCTCACAGACATTCTGTCCCAGTGAGAACCAGCTAGATTGGTACTCATCATTATTTGGCTCCGGGTGGTGTGATGAGTACGAACAACAATCAGTACCAAACAAACTTTTCTCATAAGAAATAATGCAGTGACCCACCAGGCAGCCAACAATAATGAGTTCCAACTTGTGCACTGAGTACAAAACAAGTGATGAGCACCAGGATGTTCATATCAAAATTCACTGAGTACCAAATTCACTGAGTTTCAAAGCAATTGAGTACAAGATACCACTGTACTTGGCTGTTCAGCATACAGAATGGATATCTCATTCTTCTGTAACTTAACGTACTTCTTACTGTTGGCCTACTCCTTTCATATCAAGTACAGTAGGCAATACACATCTAACATCATGTAAGCCTATGTTTCTCAACCTCAGCAACTTTAAAAAGTGTGATCTTCAACTCTCAGAATTCTCTAGACAGCATGAAAATGAGAAACCCTAATGTAAGAGACAACAGATTAAGAAGCCTAGATTTTAGATATTAATGCCACTGCATGCATTTTATAGTGATAGTGCCATGGTGGAAGAGGATTCCAAAGAAAATATTTCCAGGCACAAAAGCAAAAAAAAAAGGAATACAACTGAGTATTAATATTATTAGGAACTACCTAAAATTAGTTATGGGTCAGCTGTGACAGTGGTTGGAGTTTAGAGAGTTTTTATATCTACTTGGGAACTGCTACACATAGAAACAGTAGGTCCGAGCATGTATTATGTCATTTGTCACCAAAGTGCTATCCCATATACATTTTTCTTAGCTATCTGAAATCAAGATACCTGCATAGGTACATGCATAGCATGTGTAGCTTGCTCTCTGCTTTGGCAGGTAAGGGTCAATGCCTCTGTGCATTCCATAGGCAAGCCCTGAAAATATGCAAATGTCCAAAACTTAATCTTGATCCTATTTATTATTTATTGGCCCAGTAATGGCACTCACCTCCGCATATGAGGCAGATGGCGCTGAGGAGTCCTGTTTCAGCATCGTCCATCTCAAGTGGCAGCAGCTGGTTGGCAAAGGCAAAGACCAGGTCTGTGAGGGGTCCAAAGCCTGCATTATGCATCTGAGTGCGGTTGAGGGTCAGGCCATCAGAAAAGGTCATAGTGTCCTGCTCTGGTGTGTAGCGTGTGCATATCCGAAGGATCTGTGATGGAAAGTATGTTAGAGGTATGCATCGCAGTTGTTCCCCATCATTTCTACGTTCTACCTGTAACATTCAGTGCGTAATATATTACTGCAATATTCAGCTGCAGGACTTGTACTATTGTTAGACTGAGTACATCATCTGTTTGGGGTGGCAAATCTCTGGGAAGACACAATCGCTACCTTTCAAACAATCCTCTTAACATCCTGGCCACTCTGTTCTGCTGGACATTGTTATGTATGACCCAATACCTGTCCTGAGCTCTTAAATTAATTTATTACTGTAAGTATGATGAACAGCACTTTTTGTTTCTTCCTAGCGTTTTCTCACAAGTGCAGGGTCTGCTTTTTTTTTTTTAATCAACCAAGTATTGATCCACTGGTTATGAGAAGAGTGATTGGCCCAAAGCTACCCCGCCATCTTTTCATGCCTAAGGCAGGTTATAACTCAATGTCCTCATTCTTCCTAACCTAATGCCTTGCCCACTAGACCAAATTGGTTCTTCCAATAATGTTTATATATGTAAGAAATGGGGATAGGGTACCACCATAGCTTTCTCCTTTAGCCTTGGGCTGATCCTGTGAAAGTATGGCTACAGTGCTAATTAATTCCTACTGCTCCATAATTCTATATATTTCCTCATTTTTCTTAATTGCTGAGCTTTGTTTGAAAAGGAAAAGGTCCCATTTACTTACCAAGATGTCGAGGCAGGCTGCTTTGAGGAGTGTGATCTGGTCAGCAATTGTGAGTGTGGTAAAGCCTGGCAATTGCTTGGCAAATTCAACTGTCTTGATGATGCACTTTGTGGACAATTCACTGAATTTGTCCCACAGATCAATGTCAAGAGATATCCGTTGATCTGAACTGTTGTTCTATTGGAGACAGGGCAAAAGAAAAGGAATTGCATTTGACAGAATAAGAATGGCTGGATTTGTTTTACAGCAGTAAACCCATATGCCTGAATCCAGAATTTGATATTAGCTTATGGGTAATATAGTTCTTTGTGTGACGTGAGAAAGGCAACACTTTCTTTTCATGATTTCCTGAGTTTATTTTGTAACTACACCAGTGCCAGATAAACACAGTTAAAAAGGAGAAAAAGCAGACAAGGAATTGGCTAAACAAGACCCAATTATATTGCTTATCTAAAAAATTGACTTGAATTTGTTCAATGATCTAGGCCTATAATAAATCAGGGCTTAACATGATCTATTAAAGTGGAAATTTAAAAAAAATGTTTCCCAGGTCCTTTCTGGTGGTCCAGATATTTTGTCTACTCATGGAATAAACAGCTTTATTCCATGAGTAGATAATCAATCAATCAGTTCTGAACTGCCTATACTCCCCCCAAAAATTGTTACCCCCCAAAATCTTCCTGTAGTCTTCTTCTGGCTATATCATAACTAATTCTTACATATTAAATAAATTAAGTTTATATGGGAATAGTTAAGCCAAGTTCTACCAACAGAAACGACAACCTCTGCTTTTACTTTCAAAAAACATATGTTGAATCTCATCTTTATACAACCAAATGAATGGACAAGGTGATTTTGCATCTTTAACTGTTAAAGATTTTTTTTAATGTAGAAAATTGCCTAATGAAACCAAGAAAGCTATATAGACCATTTAGTCTAAACAGTAACATATATTTTTATTTAGAGGATTGCTTATCTCTCCGTTCAGAACATCTAAGACTTTGAATCCTGAATTATCTATTATTTTACAAATTTCTCTAAGGGGCTATAAAGGCTTGAGTGACAAGTGGTACCAATTCATCTGGAGTTTGGGAAAAGTTGTCCTGCTGAGCTTTCCCCACCCAGTCTTCTTTAGCCCTTATCTTGGCTGTCACTCACTGTGGTGTATTTCCCCAACTGGCAGAGGGCAGGGAAGGTCTCCTGGTGAGCCTTGCGCACTTTCTCGATGAGTTCCTCCACCTCAGGTGTAATGATGTAGCTCTCTGAACATTCCTGCTTTGGAGCATCTTTTTTCTTCTTGTTCCTATCATTCCGGACAGCTACAAAAGAAAGCAAAGGGACAACAAACAATTAAAAGCTTCAATGAGCAGCCAATCCATTCCTCAGGCAGATTTATAAAAATGATAGCAATAGCAATAATACTTAAGACTTATACACCGCTTCATGGTGCTTTTTACAGCCCTCTCTAAGTGGTTTACAGAGTCACCATATTGAGAGTCTCCAACAATCTGCATTCTCATTTTACTGACCTCGGCAGGATGTAAGGCTGAGTCAACCATGAACCTGGTGAGATTCAAACTGCCAAATTGCTGGCAATCAGTAGTCAGTAGAATTAGCCTGCAATACTTGCATTCTAACCGCTGCACCACTGATTATGATGATATAGTTAATATAACATATAACAGGGATTTCTGGAATCAGATAATCAATTCTGAAAACAGAGTTAGTGGCACTAGCAATAAGTGGTTAGGAGATTTGGCAAAAGGAAGCCATGTCCTGCTTTTCTGCAAATGGTAGCAATACAGCTAATACAACTTTATTTTTCCTTTTCAGAACATATACAAACTTCTCACCTTGGTTTTGGTTGCTGATCATTTGGGAATCTCATTCCACCTCCCCGCCTCCATTTTTATTACACAGTCAATGATCCTCAAAAATTACTAATTTTTATTAATGGCACTTCCTATCCAAAATGTACCTGATTTAATTTACACCTCAAAAATAAAGAGATGCCAAAAGATAGTTTCCCAACCTGGTATTCTCCAGATGGAATAAAAACTTTTCTTCTCAACAATACTGGTCATATTGGCTGGAAATTATGGAAGTTGTAAACTACTCAGTACCAAGTCAGGTGTCAAGCACAGAAAATCAGGAAACTCAGACAGTTCAAATGAATATATAGTTTCTTATATGCTTAAACTCTCTACAAGAATCTGACCTACTAATGCTCAAAGCAAATTGGCAGTAGGTAAGATTCAATAGAATTCAAGATATTATCCAGATAGTTGGGAATATTTAAACATTGACTGAAAAAGAAAAGAAAACTGTATTCCTGAAAGAGTACAGAGAAAAGGCAAAGACAAGGAAGAACAACCAAGTTGCTGAGTTAGGAAGAACTAAATGGGAATGCAAGTTGATAGAAAGCAGCAGGGGTCAGAGGACAAAAGAAGCTATGTGGCATTTGCAAGAAGGTGCTGAAATGGAGATTTAAAATATGCATTTAAAAGGGAATGTTGAAAGAAGAAAAAGTCCCAGGCCAATTGTGCATTCCTAGAATCTGAATACTACTTAAGTAGAAAATTTGAAATAATTTCCCATATTGTGTAGAAGCAAGTTTAGTAAAGGAAGGATAGAACAAAATGGAATATATTTATACGTCAGAAGGAATTTCACCCAGAGAGAAAAAAGTAATGGATTTTTTTTAATTGCCATCTTCTCTGGAAGAAAGAATCAGACTTGGAAGCACAAGACAAAAGCATGCAGCAAATATTCCCTAGGACTGTTTGTTCCCAAGAATTTAAATATCATTGTTAAGAGGGCTGCAGCCATAAAAAATAGTAAAAGACTGCTTTGTTCACCTCTTGTGAGTTACCTAAATATTTCCAATCTACTAACAACAATTCTTCTTAGTCCCAAACCAATACATACTGCCATGATGTGCTCCAAGTAACATTAAACACAAGTTACTAGTGCAACATTATGTTAAACGGGAAATAAAAATATTTGTTGCATATTATTCCAAACTAAGAATATAAGCAAATAATCCATCCAATCCACCAAAGTATTATATTTATAAATCAATAATTTGTGTCTTTTATTATAATTTTCAATGCCCTAGCAGAAGTGGAGAAAACAAAAATGTGATTTTATGATACCTATGCATGCCAAATATGCTCGAACGAAAGCCGAGGCAATAAAGAAGAAATCTCAAAGATAAATATAATCTTATCCAGTTCTGAGAGATTCCTTATTCCCATATTTTTTTTTGAATTATTCTGATTCCTTATTCAATTCCAAATTGCCAAAGCAGCACTTGAAGAACAATAACAATTACCACATTGATCATAAAAAAATAAAACAAGAACTAAAATATATAAATTTAATAACAATCTAAGTGTGCCTTCAAACTATTAACATAAGTCAGCAAACATCATTAAAAGCATTCTAATGAATGCTGAAATTTTAAGAAGCCATTGAAATGTTAAATAAGCCTTCAGTAGATAAAGGTATTCCAGGATGTGAGCACTACCTGATAGAATGTATACCTTATGCTTCTGGATTCAAGCACAATTAATAGCTTCATTTTCCAGAGGAGATCAAAGGGACCCAGGAGGAATAAATGGAAGGAGGCCTTTCCAAAGTATACAGGTTCCAGAATTCAGCCTAGAAGCAGCTCAATACCCAATGCCAGAATATGAGATTGCTGTCCACTGTGCATACCAGGAGACACTACTCAGCACTCAAGATTAAAAGCAGCAACTGTCAAGCCTTCTTCCAAGGTCTTCCCCACATACTACAGCAGGGGTGTCAAACTCATGAGTTTCACACCCCTGCTGTAGTATGTGGGGAAGATTGTCACATGACATATCACAACTTTTTCCCCTTTGCTAAACCAAGCATGGGCGTGGCCAGCGCATGACGTATCCGGCCCACGGGCCATGAGTTTGACACACCTGCCAAAGCACACAGTAACAAAAGGACTAAGGAAATATTTCTATTAATTTATACAAACCAAAGAGACCTTTAGTTTGATTGAATTCTCTCCTCACAGTTATCCTAGAAGGGAAATCTAGAAAACCCCACATACTGCCCCTGTGATATGGGTACCATAGAAACTACAGTTCCTTTCTTCTGTATTGTCAGTTCTACAGGGACATTCACCACTAATTGATTATCCCTCTTTCCTTTAAATTTATGGGGCACCCTGATAATGTTTATCTGTTAAACAATTGCAATAAATTTATCTCTCTAAAGTAGGGAAATACTGCTATATTATGTGTAAGCTTTGCCCACAAATAACTGCAATAGTTGTTGTTCTGGGGGAAGTTGAGATATTCATTTTATTGAATGTTCTTTTTTTGATCAATGACCAAAATAAAGTTTCTGTCTGTCAGAAAGAAGTTATTACTTCCAGTCCATTATAGTTACATGATAATTCAGCAGCAAAGTAGGGAAGGAAGGAAGGAAGGAAGGAAGGAAGGAAGGAAGGAAGGAAGGAAGGAAGGAAGGAAGGAAGGAAGGAAGGAAGGAAGGAAGGAAGGAAGGATCAATCAAAGGAACTATCTTAATTAGGAAAAACATGCTTCCTAAGACCTATTTCAGCCTGCCATTTTACACACTTTACTAACTATCCACTACTTGTTCACTAACCTAACAAGAACATTCTTTAGATCATTTTCAGTGTGAGTTGTTTAAGAATGAGCTAACTAAGCTAACCGATTTTTAGTTTGCGTGACTGATTATTAATTAGATATATTATTCCATACTTTTAACTTAAATAAAATAACCTACTGGAAACTTTAAAATAAGTGAAGCTTCAAGTTACCAATAAACAAAAGAATTTCAGGCAGCAGCTCCTAAAATAATGGAAATTAAAATACAGAAAACAAAACTAAGTACAGTAATGTTGGCTGTAAAAACAATAATCAGATTTGAGGCACTGTTTTGTTTTTGCATGCTGGATTTATGGAAGCATTACAAAGCCTTGTTTGTTATTGTCATTTTCTGTTTGGTGTATTTTTATAAAAATCCATATGAGAATATCCTGGTGGAGGAAGCCAAACAATTCTTTTCAAACAGCAAGGATTCTTGATTTTTATTTTCTAGGAAAAAGAATCTTCCTTTAAATTAATACAAGTGGTGAGGGAATGCCAGATGTGTCTTTCGCTTTGGGTAGGCTGGTACATATCACTGTCCTGCCTGATGGAGGAGGGGGCGGGGGGGGGGATAATTCGGAAATCAGTCATGTCTGCCTGGCAAATTCAATAAAGCACAGACCAGACAGCCAGTTAGGAAGGGGGGGGGATGCATCCATCATCACATAGAGGTTGTGGGGTAAGAAAAAGCAGCTGGCATGAGGAAAAGTGAAGAACACCAAAAGAAATGAGTAAGGGAGGGATTCAAAAGCACATTGTGGGATGTATGGATGTGTATGTCCACGCGCACATCTTGAAAGCAGTCTTGATTAAAGTGGTCCACATTTTTGATTCCTGGCCTCTCTCTACCACACTGTATTTTTTTTCCCTACCAGAAATTTCTCCCTTCTCCCCACAATGCCTAGGAGAAAGATGGATGATTCCATTTTCTCACTGAGACCTCAGAAAGTATTGGTTATAATGGAATCCTTAGTCTCCCTATTGCCACACGCTTCATCAGCAGGTAGCATGCCCTATTTGTTAAAATCTGGGGAACAAAACCAAAAAAACCCCAAAACTTCTCATCCCCTCTTTTTCTACCCTCTGTGGCAGACATACTTAATTCTTGGAAATATACAGTCACACTCCTGGATTCCATATTGTTAGCAAGCTAAAAAGAATATAAAGTCACAAAGAATACACTCTGCCCACATTTCTTTTTTCATCATCCTCTTTTCCTCACATTTGAATGAACAGGGAAAAAGAAACAATAGGATTTGGGATGCCCCAAATTAACCATTGATTCTCTACACATTTGAGACATTTCTTTTCATTCCATGGATTTATCAGTCCAACCCTTGCAAACTGGGGTTCTGTCCCCCACCCATTACAGTCGGGAGTCATGACAACTAAGCACTGCAGACGCCAGGAGGGTCCTGTCTGCGTCATTTATCTCTGACATCATCAATCATGGTTGCCCGGGAAACACCCTCAAAATTAGAACAAAGCAGAGGGGTAAGCCCCCTGCACCAGGCCTTTGGGAGAAAACTAGAAAAATTCCCAGGTTTCTTTTTCTTTTAGATAGAAAGAGAATGCTATTTGACAAAATATGCTAATGTCAACTTTCAGAAGAGTAGCTCAGTTAAGAAACAGTCACAGAAAAAAAGAGTCATCCATTTCTCCCACCTAACATACAATTTTGTTTAAAAAAAATTGGAACCAGCAAATCAGTCTTTTTTCTAGCCGACGCTCTCTGGTTTTATTCAGACTGTTCCCTTGATGTGGAATTGCAAGTTGGGAATTATGGGAATTAAGACTTTACCTCCTCTAGATAATATCAGATGGAATTAATTTTTGTTGTAAGATTGCAAATTGAATAATATTTATTTCCATAATAAATGATAACAAGAAATCTGTTTTTTTCGTATACTTAGATGACCTGCCTCCCTCATCTTAATTTTTGTTCTCTCTATACTATAGAATCAGCAATTGTCTCATCTTTCTTTTCTACCCACCTCAACTTCTCCCTTTCTGTCAGTTCGTTTCCTTCTTTCCTTCTAGGACCATTGAAACTCTCACCTTCAGAATTCTATATAGCTGGGGATTTTATACAGCATTTTGATTTGAATTATAATTTGAAAATGCCTTAGCAAACTGGCTTTTAATTTTCAATGGATAACTGAGATTTATGTCTGGGTCTTCATATGGATGGACATTTGAAATTTGCTATGATATCAAAATATTAATGGTCAACAACTTAGCCACCTCATCTTTCTTTTCTTCACCACTCACTCACATTCTTTGGACATGCCAACTTCAAAGCACTTCTGTAGGCGGCAGTACTGACAGCGGTTCCGGGTCACTTTGTTGATGATACAGTTCTTGTCCCGATGACAGGTATATACCATGTTCTTTTGGATACTACGACGGAAAAAGCCCTATAGGGTTCAGAAAAGAAAAAATGGCATGAACAAATCAACTCTTTCTTTTCTATGGTGTGGAAACATATGACTTGGCTTCTTCACTTTGCTGCAGTATCCTTGCTCCTTTGAGAGCAAGTATAGCATTTAAAAAAAAAATCACAATGTCTCCAATTCAGAATTAACCAAAACTTTTGTGCTAGGCTTTAGACAATTATCATGTCACTTGCTACTAGCCTTTCTGGGCAGATTTAGCTAATGGTATTAAAAATGCTACAGTTCAACCATTTCAAAAATTGGGTATAATGTTTTGAGATCTTAGGTATTAAAATCAATAATGGTATGTATGAATTATCTATCATGTTCATCAATGTGTTCATGACAGCATAATATTTGTTCATTCATTCATTCAATTATGTGGCCTCCCATCTCAAATTGACCCTAGTGGCTAGCAGGAGTAAAAAAAAATATACAACAAAAAATCAGCAATAAAAATGCAAAATAAACAGCCAGGATAAAAGCAAAACAAAAAAGAACTGTATATTTGCTTTCATTTGTGGAAAAAAAAACCTATCAATATAAATACAATGAAAATAATATGAGGTCCTTGTATTATCTATCATCCAAAACCTGCTCAGATAATGGCAAAGTTATACGACCTCAGATTACATGTTGTGTCTATAGTTTTTTCATTGTCCAAATAGTACATGACATATATTTTTCTCAATAATCCTTATATAGCCTTATAAAATAGATCAATACTTTTATCTCATATTGCAGATCAAAATAAATACCAAAAAGTCAGTAGCAGACATACCTAATTCTTCTCTATCTCAACATTATATGATAATAGTCATAGGTCCTGACCCACCTTAGATCTGTTACAGAATTAACTGGAATTAAACTTATAGAGAGATAATTTAGAAAGATATAATGGCTGAGTGTTCATATTATGTAAGATTTTGTCTCACACACCCAAACTATCTTCTTACAGAGTAAAATCTTCTTATATATAGTGTGCTGAGAATCAATTTAGTCTTCTGTTCTGTCTTCCAAAAAATTGTGGAATTTAAATAGGAATGCCGTTAATCCTCAATCCTCAATTCAGTGGAGAAAAACTGCAGTTTCATCAGTAACAACTTCACCCCAAATGAATAAGCCTAGTAGATCTTCATGATTTTTAAGCACATTTTAAATACAGGATATGTATACATAAAAGGCCGTTTGCCACTTGCAGACATATAATAGACATTCTCTTGCCCTACCAGTCCATTAAATCTCTCTCTCAATCTCTCTCTCTTTCTCTCTCCCTCCCTCCTTCTCCTCTCTCTCTCCTCTCTTTCTCTTTTTCTCTCTCTCTCTCTGTCTATATATAAACATACATACTTATATACATATATACCAGAAGTGGTTCACCCAGTTACCTTTGTGTCTAAAATGGGACTACAACTTATGATCTCCTAGTTATAACATGATGCCTTAGCCCCTAGACCAAACTGGATCTCTAACTATATGAAAATAGGGCTTCATGTATGTTACTTGCAAAAATAACCCACCTAACTTGGGACACACAGATTTCATACTCAAAACAATGCAAGAAATTAAAGATTTTAACAAGGAAAAACAAATAGAGGAGGAAGGGGAGAGGAGAAATCGAAAATATTTTATTATTTTAAATTACTTAATAATTTTATTTAATTAAATTTATTTAATTAAAATTTATTTAACAATGCCTTCTCTTAGAAACCAAAAGCCCACACATGTACAAATCATCTAAAACCAATTTCTAAAGTTAATCTTACAATTTTAATCTGACTTTGAAACAAAAAAAAAATAGTAGAGAAATAGCTTTTATTTTTAACAAAAAGGGGGCTCTTATTGCACCTGACCAGTGCACTTAAAGCAGAAGCCACTTGATATGGAAAGGGAAGGAGGAGGAGATGGTAAACACAGAAGCAGCCAGACTGCTGCTCAGGAACCCAAGGGAATGAATCCCTTAATGAGATTAAGGGACTTGGGGTGGAGAGGAGAAAACCCTTTCTTTTGTGTCAGAGGCATATAGAGTTCTCTGTTAATGAGCTGGAGGGAAAGATCAGCTGATTGGGCCATGTCTCTCTCCTCAGTCTGATCTCTGACAGCTTAACTCACAAAGTCATGGTGATGGTCTAATGCAAGTGGGAGCATATGCTGAACAGGTAAATGCACAGCAGTTCATCTTTTTTACATACTGGACTGTGGAGTACATTTAAAAATAATAGATAACATATCATGAATGGAACAGAGAAGAAATAAATAACTGGTAGCCTCTATTGCAATTCCAATCAGCCCCAACCAATCAAGCAAATGGTTATATATAATGGGAGTTGTAACCAAAATATCAAAGGACATCAAAGTGGGAAAGATTGGCACAATATACAACATATAATAATAATATAATAATATAATATAAGTATACACACACACACACACACACACTCCGGAGCTCTGTTTATCGGTTGCAAAGGCTTTCCCTGAAGGTCCTCTGATGGCGAAACGGAGGCCAGGGGCAATGCGCGCATCAATCCTGACCTCGTTTCTCAGATGCAGAGGTCTTTCCAGAAGGCCATAGACGGCAAAACAAAGCCAGGAGGCACCACACACGTCAATCCAGAACCCGTATCTCAGCTGTAGAGATCTTTCCTGAAAGCCTCTGATAGTGAAACAGAGGCTGGGGCGACATGCGCAAGCAGTGGCAAGTGGCCGCAGAAGAAGTGGGCTGGCAAGGCAAGATAAGTGTCAGGGTGTACGAGGCCTGGTAAGTAGGATAGCTCCATCACTTCCATCCCCACCTCAGTTTAATTTTTACCCACGTGCCTCAGTCCTCCCAATGCATCCTGGAGTGGGTGGGGTCTTAACTAGGGCTTATTTATTAATTGGGCACACATGTAAAAATCAAGCTAGGGTTTACTTTCAGGGTAGTTCATGTTTTCAGGGGGACACGGGCATATATATACGCCGTTCTACATACGCTCACACATGCCTTCATCTCAGAGCCAACAAAGCATAAAACTCAGCATTTCCTAGAGAAGTAGATGGATTGGGAGCTTGGCATTACTCTCAAATCTTCCCAGCTCTGTAAAAAAAAAAAAAAGTTCTACTCCTCCACATTCTTAAAGTCACAGGACATGGGCAAAACTCGCGATGACAGTTGCCAGATGATGACTGGACACTTCATCAAACACTCTTGAAGCCCTCTGAAATAGTTGGAAAAGAAAGAGAAAATGTCCCTTTTGGGCCAGAAAAAACATCAGCTAGTCATAGCTGATACTAGAAACTATGTTCTAACATTTTTTACTTTCTCTAAATCTCAGCGCTTGCATTAGGATTCTGCATTCCACAATTCTTCTTTGGAACCTGTATATTTGAGTGAGCCTTATTCTCTTTAGCTTTCCTGCTGTAGATATGCCTCCATCTATTTTCACTCTCACCTTGCATCCTTCACAGGCGCTAACACCATAGTGGTAGCCAGATGACTTATCCTGACACACAAAGCAGGGTTTGTAGATTCGGGGCAGTGGGGGTGGTGAAGGAGGACTGGGTACAATCTCTTCTGAGCTGGTACTTTGTGTTTCAATGGCTACAGAAAAAGAGAGAAAAAAAACACATGAAAGTACTGGTGACGTTTCAAATCTATCTGGAACCTATATGTGAGTTACTTAATCAATTCTTTAGTTACGCTACTTTTGAGCCAAATGTCTATGGCATTGCTTGATTTTCCAGTGCTTGATATGAAATGATGCTGTTAAAAGGATTTGGTTTAATATATTCTAGAGAAAAAAAGATGAAAGATTGGCTCATAGAGTCTATCTTGGTTTCTCATTCACATGTACACAGAGGTTAATGCTCTTGATGTGGAATGTGATGCTGAACTCTTGCAAAATGGACATAAATGAGGAAGAACTCTGCAAGAACTTATGCTCTTAAAATGCTTGCATACCAGAAATGCTTACTCTATCTACCTTATCGTATAATCATTTTAGATTAAAAAAATAAACTCCCAACATTTCTGTTGAAGAATATTGGCATGAATGAAAAGAGGAAGATACATTTATAAAATTATCTACAATAACAAACTGATTGCTTGCTGTCTTTGTAATTGAAATGGGCCCTTTGCTTCTACTATGGATTTTCAGAAAGGAATATGGAAATGGAGAAGGGGAAATATTCTGCAAAGCCTGGAAAGGTTGCTGATCAAAGACAGTCTCGATATAAACACCAGTTAGCTTCTTGGGCCCACCACTTTGTGGTTTTAACAACATCATTTAAGAGTGAACCATCTCACCATGTTCTGCTGGGGAATGCTTTCCAGTAACTTATATTTTGGCCAGACAGATTTTGCAACCTAAAAGCTTTTAACATAGCAGATACTTCACAAGGAAAATGGAAAAGGAATGCAGTGGCCCAGTGAGTAAGAAAAAGGCCCAATTCTGTAAACCCGAAGGCCTGAAAGTTTTGAAAGCCGCCTCCAGCATGCTTTCTTCAAGGGAGGGATGGCATCTCTTCAAGATGCAATCTGACATTTTCAGGCCAGTGAAATAAAATCTGGAGTTAAGCCAGCCATAACCAGTCCCAGGTGCATTAAATCTTGGTGTTGCAGCTTAAGGTGGTGGAGGAGAGAAGGTGGGGGGGAAGGAAGGCAAGCAGCAAAGCAACAATTAGGCTTCCCAGAGTTGAAAGCAAAAAGGGTTGGATTTGAATGAGGAATGATAAAACCATAATAAAAAAGTGTCCCAGAGCACAGACAGAGTGCTTTTTCCTTTCAGCAAAACAATAACTAATTCCATCTTCTTATTCGTGTTAATTTCCACTGAGTAATATACAGTATAAAATAGGGAATCATCTACCCATCAAAGGACAAGAAAGGGGCAAAAATTTCAAGTTGTGCCACAAGAGGTATTTAATATTAGTTAGATATAGAAATAATTAATGGTAAGCAGGCTTAAACCATAATTTCTACAGAAAAATGGAGAAATAGCTTAAGAATTAACAATAGTTTCATTTAACTGGGATAATGTGACTAGGAAACTGGCTAATATCTCAGCTTCCAAAATAAAATGTTTTATTGAGTAACACGGGGAATGGGCAGCCAGGATTCTGAAAGGCCAGTCTTCAAAAGTAGACAAAGAAATAATTCCATCCATCAAAATTACATCAGTATAAAAACATACAAGCTTCCAAGTTATACATAACTCATCAGCAGGCAAAATGAAAGAGGTACTTAAAGAAGTGAAGGAAAGGGTGATTGGGGCAATCAAGATAAAAGGATGGCATTTCTCAGCAAGGAAACTGAACTGGGCACTTGTTTTGGGATTGCAAGACCTTTTTATATATTTCAATTTGATGATTCTCCTGAACTCAGCCTTGGTTCATGCCTGTCAGGTATCAAACAGGGGCTGCAATATTTTTGTTCTGCTTTGGCTGGTAAGCTAGTGTTGTTTTATGTTTAAGATATTAGCCTGAGATCTGGATTTAGATTCCCATTGGTCAGGAAGCTTGCTAGATTGTTATCATTCAACCTCTCTGCTTCACCAATTTTCAAGGTTGTAGTGAGGATAGCCTGAATTTGTCAGAAGCCAGTCTAATTTGGCGTGTAAATCTTGGCCATGTTCAGGTTTGGATCAGTACAGTGAGGGCTGCTTTTGAATTACATTTGGAAAAGACAACCGATGCAAAATGCTGCTGCCTGGGTGGTATTGGAGATCTGTTACATGGAATATATTGCTTTACATTTTTGAATTTGGACTGCTTTGCAGTTTGTTTCCAATTTGAAAAAAAAAATCTTTTTTCATTTTTAAAACCATAATAAGTTGGGGTCAGTCCATCTGGATGATGTCTGATTTCCTTACAACGCTGCTGTCACGCTGAGATTATTGGCAGGACTTCCATGGTATAATGGGTGAAGGCCTTTTCCTCTGAGTGTTTACCCTTCCAAGGTAATTTTTAGTCTTTTCTTCCATCTATCAGGGTGGACTATACTCCTCCAGGTTTCTATGCCGAATTGAATGTTGGCATACCCTCAGTTATTTTATTTAAGTGTTTTGCCATAAAAACAGATTAAAGAGTAGCATCACTCTATTACTGTGTAACAAATCATTGGGTTTAAAATTAATAGTTTACCATTTTTATTAATTTTCATGTATTTGGGTTGTTTAGCAGAACCCTAATGTAATACATAAGGCAGCACAAAAGATAAGAATGTAATGTAATTGTATGTGGTTATATATCTTATCTAGAACCTGTTTGCACCACAGATCAACACCACTTCTAAGAAAAATTCTATCCAATGATATCTAGATTCACATGGAGACCATCCTCTAAATTTCCAGCAGGCTGTCTTCTATCTCCATGAAATGCATCAATCCTCCTGACACTCACATACATAAATAGGTTTATTGACATACCCTCCACTCTGGCACAGCCTATTTCAAAAGGCTTGATTCCCATGACTCCTGGTTGAAGAAATAGCTCTGACGCCACACACAAATAAGACAAGAAGATAAAACTTGCCTTCCTTAACAATCTGGGGAAAGGTGATTTAAGGTTTGGGGGGGGCAGAGAAAAGATTGGGGACAGTAACTTGGAGGTTGCACTACTGCACTGAAAAGCTGCAAGGGAAGAAGTCACATGAACTTGGCAAATCACAATGGCTGCTCCAGGCTTGCATGTGTACTGGGCAACAATAACAAAAAAAGCATAGCCACCACATGTGTGAAGTGTTTGCTGCTCCCCCAGACATGAAAAGGTTAAGGCATTTGGCTGCACATCCACAGCTCCTTTCCTGTAGGATGTCTGCCGATGTTTTTCTTCAAGTTATAGTCCGGAGTAAACCAGTCAGACAGGATATTAAAAAGCCTGGCCCCACTCAGGGAGAACAGGCCTTCAGATGGGAAAGGCCTCCAGGCCAGTCCCCCAAGGATGGTTTTGATTACCTCCTTTTTAGCCAAAAAACAAGCAATCTCCTACACGTACATACGTACATGTGCGCATACACACACATATACAATTCACAGGGAAAGGAGCCAGGATGTGAGCCCAGCAAACAAAAGAGCTGGCACATGCCAGGAGATTTGACATGAAAGGGGATGCATTGAATGGGGCCTCTACTCAGGAAGAGGCTCACAGCTGGGGAATGCACCCTAAGGATTTCCACCAACTTACAGCCCATAACATCCCCACCCTGACAGTGCAAAACACAAGGTTTCTCTGGACTAATCCCTCCCTCTGTTAACACACATAGGCGTGGCCCAGAGCCAACTGCAACGGAGACTAGAGGCACACAGCTGTGCCACAGAAAAGCAGCAACGCAGACAGCTGTACAGCTGAGGCTTGATTTCCATTCCTAATTCTGGGCAGGATAATAATGGTCAACCAGGAGCAGAGTCAAGAAGGCTTGTCTGATCTGGACTCCCCAAACTATGACAATGAGTTAATTATAAGGTAAAAAGTTACTCTGCAGATTATCAGAACTCTGGTGTTATCAGAAATTCATTGCATACCTGTGGAACTTAAAGTAAATATTAGCTATGCAGTCACAAAAGAAGACATCACTGCTTTAAAGAGTTGCAGACACAAATTAAGTTGAAGGACCTCTGGGAATTAAATCAGAAATGCTGCACAGCCTTACATTTTGGAGGATTCCCAAATGTGATTATGTCCCTCAGCCAATGTGGCATAATCCAGGAAAGGCTTTATTATATAATTCTGCTGAGTAAATTTATTAAAGCTCAGGATTTCGTACACAGGACAAGAACTATACAAGTTTGGGTTAGGAAAATTAGGGCTCTTATGTTAGGACAGTACTGTGGCCTTCTGGAATGGGTAAACATGGATATTTGGGAAGTTGAGCCCTTGGTTTTGATTTTGAAAATAATTCAATCTAGAAAATAACCATGGAAGAAGATGACAAAGGTCCAATAAATAAATTTTCTTTATCCTTATTTATATCTCTCAATCTATTGAAAGATGGATTCGTACTGGCCATGGTAGATGCGTAGATGCTCTCTATAAGTGGGGTAAAATACCATTGTGGAATTGTGATTGTGTGGCAGAAAAACAAACCATCCAACATATAGTGTCAGATTGTCAAAACAGAGCCTATAGCTGTAATAAATGAAGCAAAAACTATACCTGTAATCTAGACATATGTTCATAATATTTTATATTTCATATTTTGTATTTCTATCTTCTGTGTTTTTATCAAAATATGATGTGAATATGACATACCACAAATAAATAAATAAATAAATCTTAATCCAGCTATAGATCTCTTTCTCTTTGAAGAACAACCCAAATGTCTTGAAGTACAAGAACATATTCTGATTCAGTAATGGACTTTTAAGAGTTGCCATACAGCAGGGAGTTAACAGTGGGCAGCTAAAAGTATGCGGAAACATCTAGATTTTCTGATTCTGCGACCCTCTTTTCTCCCTTTTCCTCATTCTTTGTCATCTGCATAAAAAAAAATATTTAAGCTTCACAGACTTTTCATCATTGTTCTGAAGGTTGGTGAAATATAGGAGAATATAATCAATGCATTCTGAGGCATTTATGGTCAATGGTCAAGACATTGAGTGTATA